CAGAGACAAAGAGAGCAGCGACCTCCTCCTTGAACCAACAGCCTCGAGTGAGGGAAAGGGGAGGAGCAGACATAGAGCGCAGACTCAGCGCGCGAAGAAACTGCTGCCTCATTCCGAGCCTATCGCGCATGCGCGAAATCGCTCCAAAAAAATGGCGATCGGCCTCAAGGGCGCGAAATTCAAACGTAACGGCAGGAAGAACTTCCAAAACGGCTGATCCCTATACCTTCCAGCAGCCGCTCCAGCGAGAGGACGAGGGAGGTAGACAACGACAGGAGAGAATGAGCTCCGTCAGGCCACAGACACGGATTCGACCGCGCCCGCAGGCGGGCGCTATCTGGCAATAGAAAGGGCGGCGCTGGGAGACTCAGCATCCCTACGCGCCGAAATAAGGGGAGGGTAGACGGAGAAGCCGTTTGCCAACGGCAAGGATCGTCTTACGCTCCGGCTATCCTCAGAGTGGAAGCAGCAAGGGGAGGAATCGGCTGGCAGAAACTGCCGCTTTACCTCCAATCCGAAGTATACACAGTAAAAATCCAACAAAAGAAGTAAAAATCCTGAGAAATTGTCAAGAGAAAATTGAGATAGGTCTCGTAGGCTTGGACTGAGTAAAGAGACTGAATAGAGGAAGGAAGTCCAGCCAGAGGAGGCGTGGCTTAGAAATTTACATACTCAGTCTCAAGGCTAGAGGGCTTAGTTAACCCATGATTGGATTCCCGGAGCAGCACACAGGAGAATTTCCATTTTGTTGACAGTTTTGTTAAACATATCTTCTTTATAAGATATTTTCTATCATAACAATCACCACTTTATATAATGTTACTTAATTTTCACCCATAAACTTTTTTTTAAAGTAACAAGGGTGGGGAAAATGTATGCTAGTTGACTTTCTTCAGTGGTAATATTTGCAACACTGAAATAGGATGGGAGCAAAATGCTCAAATTGTTTCCACTAGTACTAATAGCAGAATTTTTATCACTCTGATTGTAATGCTTCACTATACTAAGTTTGAATAGGAAACAATACAATTCTACTGAAAGAAAAAAAAATCTCATGGAAATCTCAAATAGCAACTCTGGCCCTTGATGATTCTGGCCAATTCTAACACTTCAAATTTGAAGCTGTTAATCAGTGGTAGACAGCCTGAAGTTCCAACATCAATTATGGTTAGCTGAACTTTTGTGTGTGCTTGTGTGTGAGCCTGCTATACACAATTCTGAAAATTGGAGGTACGGCTTCCCACCAGTTAAAGGTAAGACATCTATAACAACCATTGTATAAACTCTACAAGAATTATCAACATGTTAAAAAAAAAACTACTTCCACCCTACCTTGTCAAATCCAGAGAAAACAACAACTCCTATCCCACCGTCTATCATTAATATACCCCCCTGCAGTTCTTCCACTTTCTAAAAGAAGTACCATATTTTTGGAGTATAAGATGCACCGGAGTATAAGACGCACCAAGATTTTGAAGAGACAAATTTTAAAAACGTTTTTGCACTCTGCAGACCTCCCAAAAACGGCCCGTTTTTTCACAAAAATGGGCCCGTTTTTTTTCCCAAAAAAGGGCATGCATAGCCTTTAGGAGGCTTGTAGAGTGCTCCTGGAGGCTGGGGAGGCAAAACTGAGCAAAAAACAGTCCCTTTTCCTCTCATTTCTACCCTCCCCAGCCCCCACTCTGACAACCTCTTAAAGGCAATGTATGGCCATTTTGGTGAAGGGGCAGGGTTTTGGGAGGCAAAAAATGCTGTATTCAGTGTTTAAAACACACCCAGATTTTCAGCCTTTTTTTTTTTTTTTGAGGAAAAAAGGTTCATCTTACACTCCAAAAAAATACGGTAAGTGCTGCCCCATTTATCAAAAGATTCTTTACCGTGCTGTAAGTCAATAGTTATGGCTGTATCAACAACTCCACTCAATAAGATGAGCAAAAGGAAGGAACAAGCAAAATGGCGCAGTGATTAGAATGCAGTCTGCAGACTAACTCTGCCCACATACCATCCTGACCAACTCAAGTTTGACTCCCATCCTTCCGAGGTCGGTAAAATGAGAACCCAAATTCTTAGGGACAATATACTGACTCTGTAAACAGGTTAGAGGGTACTGTAAGTCTAAGTGCTATTACTATTGCTATTATCGTGTTATTAAACAGGAGCTAGGATCAGCCTCACCTGTTGCTGGATTCGAGCACTGAAATACTTTTCAATAAGTTTTCTGCTGGTGGAGGAGCAAAGATCCAACTCTTTCTCCAGAGCCTATAAGAAATGAGTATCAGCAGAAATACTAGACTATGAATAAAATAAGTAATACGTGAGTAACCAAGAGAAATAAAAACGGAAGCTTTCCCAGGCAGGGTGTTGCTACACCAGCCACTTTTGACACTGATCTTGTTTGTCAAATGTGAGGCCATACAGAAAGTTTCAGCTGAATTGAATTGAATTGAATT